AATATATATATATATATATATATATATATATATATATATATATATATATATATATATATATAATTCATCAATGTGAAAACAAACCAAGTTCAGTCAATTTTCAAAACCAATGACTAATGTGCACAATCAGTATTATGTAAGTCAGTAAAATATGTATCTGAAAAAACAGAAAATAAACATCAGACACTGCTTATGATATACACATTAATTCAAAATGCATAATTTATCACAAAATAAAAGTTAGTGTAACTGCAGATTTTTTCCCTCAGCTACACTTTTCTCATGTTAGTGCTAAGAGAACAAACCTTACGAGTGCTTTATTGATTCCCATGTAATGCCACATCTTATGAAACCCCATCCAACACTCCAACACATTACCTCATTTAGCCAAAGGGCTTTGTTGAGGATAAACAGTTTCATTTGCACCCAAGAGCTGCCCAGGAATTCCCTAGCAATTTGCTCTTTGTGGTGTTGGAGTAAATTGCAGAAAAACGTGTGTATAAAGTATACACTTGGCATTAGCGAGTATGCAGTTTCTCATGAGGAGTATTTGTGTTTGACGGAGGCTTTCAATGTGTATCTCTGAGCCATTTTAAAATGTGTCCCTCGGTGTGTGTGCATCTCAAAAGATGTGGAACTGAATAAAGTCTGTCCCTGGAGAGTGTCTCGAAGGAGGCCGCTGCTAATTGTCTGACAACTGCAGCATGTTGCTCCTATTAATTCCCCAACAAGCGTTTAAAAGTGTTTAACCCTTCTGCTCTGCTGACTACAAAAGGTGAAGGTCTCTGAAGAACTCAGTTTGACCATAAATGATGGTTATGATTTAAAACATGCATGGAAATAATTAAAACAGCAGGAACGGTTTGTCCAAAAATGAATCACCCTCAAGCCATCCAAGAAGATACAGGTTTGTTACTTCATGGGAATTGATATGGAGAAATGTAGCATTGCATCATTTGCTCACCAATGGATCCTCTGCAGTGAATGGGTGCCGTCAGAATGAGAGTCCAAACAGCAGATAAAAACATCACAATAATCCACACCACTCCAGTCATTTGATTAATGTTTTAAGTGAAAAGCAGCAAGTTTGTAAGAATCAAATCAAGACGTTTTTAGCCTCAAACATTCAGACTAGACAAGTTTTTCACTTGAGAAAGCAACATTACGGATAGAGGACTCGTACTTTAGCATGGTTTACAGTTATTACAAACAAGCAACATTATGATGTCACCTTATGTTCCTGTTCTAAAGTTAAAGTCAGGTTGTGTATAAAGCTGTTCCACTCAAACACTTCACTTAGGCTTGATTGTCTTAATTGCATCTGTGTTACTGCAGTTTCCTATCCGTTTCTCAAGTACTTACTCACTTCCAGACTATAAAGAAGTCCTACAGATAAGGCCAAGCCACACTAAACATAAGTGTCACTTTTAGCCACCTCTAATGTGTTATCAGACCTCAGACAGACGCGCTGAATGGCCAATATGCCAAACTATAAAGTCCATTACGATAAAAGACGGGTCTATTTCTGGCAAAAGCCACAAAATTAACTTGGTATTGCGAGTCCATCTATTCCATTGCATCCATTATTTAATGTATTAACAAAAAAAAATGTCTGTAGAGCCTCACATCAACGTCACTATAAATGTTTAAGATAAATGTAAAAATCGAATTGAACCCTTAATTGTACAAGTTGTTATGTTTTAGAATTAAATTAAAATATCATTCAATACAGCAAAAAATAAACATGCATCTTTACCGACATGTCATATGAACTTTAAGTACTTAAATTATTCCTGCTTCAAGTTACACATGACAGCAAGTTATGACTTACATTCAGAATATAAAAATATTACATACATATATACACACATATATACTCTCAAGTTGAAAAGGGTTATGCACTGAACAGATAAGGGGGGTAAGCTTGTGATGCTTGTGTAATATTTGTGAAATGCACAAATGTCCAGCTTTGTACATGTCCATTGGTCGTATACTTTAATCAAAACACTAATATTTAAAAAAACACGAATAAACAAAAATGGACATCCTTGAACAAGTATGATAAATTAAGCTTCAAAGAGTGAGCTTGCATTTGCGCACACCAGATAAACTGTAAAATGTAGAAAGAAGCTGACTTATTCTTGCAGTCTACAACCAACGGTTTTCAAAGCCATGGTCATTTTTATAGAACAGTATTTACAGACCGGCGTGCGATGACTGGTTGTAAAGACCAGGAAGTACTGTGAATAAAGAGGACCTAACAAAGAGGCCTGCCTCGACTAAATAAGTTACATGAAAAGCATTTGAGACAAACAACAAAGCCCTGAATGCTCTCGAACAACCTAAATGCAAAACTGAATCATTATAAAAGTAGTACAGTGAGGGGGAAAAGTACATTTTCAACACCATTTCCAAGCTCTTAAGGTAAATAACTGGGACGCGCTTCATTAATATCTCTCCGGAACAGCTGTTTGGATTAAACAAACACAGATATTATTACAGGCTTCTGCCAATAATAAAAGTAAAACCTAAACAGATCTAGAATGAACTCATGAAAGCATATTTCTGCACTAATTTCCCCATGCATCTCCAAGCGGAGATGAAGAAAGAGACACTATAGAGTACAAGCTCATCTACTGAACCAGATAAACTGAACAGAAAAACAAACCGTGTTAAACCGTTGGCATTCTGAGGTTTATGAAAATGGTAATGAGACTCGTGAACAAAAGACTGATCTACGTCAATTGTAAATAAATGCAATGTGGGACACTAAATCCACACCTCATTCTTGATCATGGTAATCAGAAACCCTCCCAATGACAACAGCTACATTTTCAGATTCTAAATCATTCACATTATGTCACCCTTAAGTTATTGTAATTACTGCTAAGAACTGACCTTCCTTGAGCCCTGGAACACAACCCGTAAAAAAAAAGAACTGTAAAACATGTGAGATTATCATCACATAATATGCCAATGGAAACAGTAAGAGCTTTCGCGACATACATAACCCCAAACAAACAGACCTGTATTTCCTCATAAGCCTCGTCAACGGTGGTGACTTGGTGCTGTTCGTGTAAGGCAGGCTCATCACAGAAGAAGCACACCAAGCTCTTGTCACTTAAGCAGAAGAGCTTGACCTTTTCATGGTCCTTGCACGGGTACGAGTTCCTCTGGGCGTTCAGGATGGCGTCCAGAGGGAAAGCGGCATACCTCTCCACGATGTTGGAGAGCTTCAGGCTCGGGGACAGAAGGGGATCCGTGAAGGTCCTCCTGCACTCCGGGCAGTCTCGCGCCCCGTGATGCTCCTGTCTGCTCCAGTGCTCAGTGATGCACTTACGGCAGAAGTAGTGCTCGCAGCCGAAACTGACAGGGTCTTGATAAATGCTCAGACAAATGGAACACAAGAGCTCGTCCTTCAGACAGCAAGCCATTTGCATCTACGGAGGGGTCGGTCATGCACTGTGCAGGTAAGCAGGACGCACGAGTCTCTCAATCAGCTGGGCTCTTTGAGGCTTGAAAATGTTCCTCGACTGATTCCTGAAAAAGAGCGTAAGACAGACAGACACTGTAAAGATGGTTCTGCAACAGGCATACTTTGATAAGTTTGATATTAGACTCTCGGATTATCAGGTATAAAAGACTTTAGACACGGACTTTGTCCTAAATGATCATGAATTGATGAGCAAATGCAGATAAAGCTGATTGAAAGTAGACAAGAAAATGTCGATACTCCTTAATTAAAAAGAGAACGGTCTGAAATCTGATTACTTACTGGACTCATTCCGCAAGATTAAATAGTACCTTATCGAGCCCGTTAAAAAATAATGACATTTTCATTTAAGACTGTTAAAGGATACTCCCTGGCTAATTAAAGACATTCATTTCTAAAAGAATTTTATACAGATGTCATGCAGTCACAACCGACTCAACTATCAATCAAATGAATCAAATTAAAAGAATCAAATGAATGGAGACCCAACCTTGCTTTGAATTAATGAATGAACGATTAAATGTCTTTATACAAATAATGTTTAAATAATCTATTTTGCAATACCTTTTCCTATTTTTATTCTTTATTTATATTTTCCTATTATTATTATATGTATTTGTTTATTTGATTTTTTAATTTTTATCTATTTTATCATAGGTTTGGGCATCCATAATCGTGCAAAAACATTTAAAAAAAGAACTTAATGTATTTAAAAATCAGAAATCATTCAACATTATATTCCCTCGCTACTTACTAATTCAAAACATTATAAAATCGTTCAATTTATACACGCTGCCACTCAGTCACCGTAGACATCCACTGAATTCAATATAACAAATCTGAATTGATTTGAATTGCTAAATTAGGTTATAAATACTGTCACCATAGACTTCCACTTAACTTAACTGGATCTTAGTCCATTTAAATCAGCGGTTTACACAGAAAGCTCCTGTACACCATGGCAATTGCAGAAAAGTTATAAATATCACTGCTTTGTTTAAAAAAAACAGCTTTTTAAATAATTTCTCTTCCCTTTTTCCATTGTTTTCTTTTGACTGTTTATCCAAGCCGGCTGCTAAATAATTAGCCAGCTAGCAGGATGTGTAAACAGATTTCCTATCTGTTTGGTCCTCTCCGAAAACGGACATTCTCGCTTCTTTCACTTACCCTAAGCGGTCCAGACGCGGTGTACAGTGGAAACAGCCGACTGTCACATAATTGAAAGAGCAGGTCGTGGTTTTACTGAAACATTTTCATCAGGTCAGATTGTTCAAAGCTGAAGAGCGACCGCACGCGCGCAGCTCCTCTCAATCGCACTGCTCTACTCTCGATCCAGAGGCGCACAGCAACGGGGCGAACCAACTCTACAGGGGACACACACACACACACACAAACAGATGGCAAGATAAGACAGCTCTCTCGGGACTTTGACTCGTGCTGTAAAGGAATGAAGTAAAGTACACACCTTTCATTTGCGTTTGTCATCTGGGCTGGATTCGTGAAAGATATAAGACATGTTTACACGGGTGAGGGTGAACCCCTCCCGCGGCTGTGATGGTACAGCCCTGGCTGCCTCATCATGGGCAGTAATGAGCAGATGATAATATCAGAGTGATTGCTCGCACTCTGCTGGCGTGTGTTTGTAGGTCGACGCGAAATGTGAGTTCAGTAGACGAGTAAATTGTTTAAATGAAAGAAAACATCTCAAAATAATTATAACATTTAAAGTATTACTTTTAACATAATTATAAAGTATAGACAAATCAATGATCAGAAAGAATCAGCATGTTTTGATTTAGTTTATGGTGTTCTTAATCTGCAATGCATATTGTCAGCTTTTGTTCAGGCTTCGATGGAATTATATTATAAATATTATATTAATAAATTATATAATACACATACACGAGCCCACTAGCTGTATATTATTATAGTTATTATATTATTATAGGTAATAATAATTATTAACTATAAATATTTTGTATATTTACATTTTGTATTTCTTTTTCATTTTTTCATTGGTTTATTACATAGTGTAATATTTAATTTAAAATAATAAATCATTATTAATAAAGAAAATTATAATTAACTATGAACTCAATTACATTACTCAAAACTAAATCATTAAATAAATGTTGAAATATGTAAATAAGTTGTTAAATGCATAATTATATCATTAAATGCATAAGTAAATGCATAAATGAATGAATCAATCAATCAATGTATGAGTATTTATTTTTATGCATTTATGCATTTAATTATGTATTTAACGATTTATTTATATATTTCAACATTTATTTAATGATTTAATTTTGAGTAATTTGGCCCTCCATGCATAATAATTATTTATTAATTAGATATATACAAACCCAATTCCAAAAACGTTGGGACACTGTACAAATTGTGAGTAAAAAAGGAATGGAATAATTGACAAATCTCATAAACTTATATTTTATTCACAATAGAATATAGATAACATATCAAATGTTGAAAGTGAGACATTTTGAAATGTCATGCCAAATATTGGCTCATTTTGGATTTCATGAGAGCTACACATTCCAAAAAAGTTGGGACAGGTAGCAATAAGAGGCCGGAAAAGTTAAATATACATATAAGGAACAGTTAGAGGACCAATTTGCAACTTATTAGGGAGGGGATGCCACACAGTGGTAAACATGGCCTTGTCACAACTTTTTTGGAATCGGGTTTGTAATATTATGTAACATATCATATGATAGCAATATTCTAAAATAAAAATAAACATAGGGGGGAGAAAAAAATTATATTAAAAGACAATTACTGCAATTAATGCTAATGTATTTATACATCATGGTAGAATTTGTACTGGTTTTAATTGTTTTTTTCAATATTATATTGATGAGAATCACGATGCAAAGAAAAAAAATAGCCCTAAACTAGACTTATAATATATATATATATATATATATTTTTTTTTAATAAAGGTGTTTTTCTAACTTTCATATTCTTCCTACTTATGAAGGCCGCAGGTCAGCAGAACAAGTTTTGCTCTAAACCATCTGGTGCATCACTGGTCAGCTGCATGACTGAATTACTGTCCTTATTATTGTCAAAGTGCTTTCAAAAAAATGCATTGCTTTGCTCATGCACCCACATTTCCCGACACCGCCTCACGTCTCACTTTAGAACCTGACCTTTGACCACCAAACCTTTTTGCTGAGTTATTCTGGTGCTCGTGGTTTGACTTGTGCCAAAACACATTTAACAAAGCAAAAATAAATAAGGATGTCTTCTACACCTGTCCCCATGCACTTTACAAGAAGAACGGCTGATTCATACGTTTCCTGCAGTTGTCGGACACATTCATCAACACTAGGCCTTGTTTATTTGTGTAGTTTCGGTGTGTGAAAAATCTTGAGGTTCTGTGGTTCATGTTCATTGTTTGCATCTCACAGTTGCAGAGCAAGCAATATGTGCAACACACCATGCGTTCATTATGAAACCGTGCAACAAAGATACTATTAGAATTCATTCATAGCTTGCATACATCGCATTGGAGAAGCGGTGTGCTTTAATGTGTAGACCGTTGGTTTGCTTCCCTACCTCAACCTGATGTCAGGATTTCCTGTCACAGTGTGCAGCGCAAACAAGCCATTTCCCACAAACAGAATGCTATCTCTGCTGTTTGCTTACTCATAATCATAACACTTGAGCTTTTATCACATTGCTGTGCTTTCACAACAGGGATGGATTGGAATGGAGAACGCAACTTTCTGAAATGACTCACTGCCAAGCACCTATAGGGTTTCGGTATGCATTGTTGGCTCTGTTAGAAAATAAACTTATGCGCTAGTTTATTTAAGCTGTCCACTCACAGTGTCCAACAGTGGATTTTTTTCTGAAACCATCCCAAGTAATTTTTAATGTCACATCGCAATTTATCATTTATTCTGTGATGGAAATGACACACTAAACTGAGGAAAACTGTGTAAAAATGGATTTACACAAAATAAAAAAATATTTATTTTATATATAATTTTTAGAATAAATAATTATACATATAGATACATACACACACACACACATAACACAGAATTGTTGACATTTTTGCAGATTTATTAAAAAAGAAAAGAGTGATGCAATGCTAAAATAATAGCTATAATAATAAAAAAGTAATAGACAATTGTGAATAGTACTGTGCTTTATAAAAGTGCATATACAAAAAATGTACAAAAAAACATTCATTTACAAGTTGAAAACCATTGTTTAAAAAAAAAAAAAACTAAAAATAAGTATATACATAGCCTGCCATAACATTTGACAATATACTTGGCAATGCAATATATACAACATGTTGGTTCTCCATTGTAAAATCTTCAGATATAATATAGAAGAAATGTTTGGATATATAACATCTAAAAGTGTTGGACAACCTGTGCTGTAATAGAAGGCTGTACTCATTTTTCATTCATCTCACATAATCCCACAAAACACATTCAGTGAGTCTATAAATGATATGACAAAATATAAACAGTATGACAGTAGAACACCTTGGAAATAAGGCAGGTAGAGAAATTATCAACCACTGGGTGGCGTTAGCTTCATATATCTACAGTATATATATATAGAAATATCATTGATTTAGTCTCTCCAGGGAGGTGTAAAAACGTTTTCCTTATCAAATGTCAATGACAATTACTGAAGAGAGATAGTAATCATAACACTTTACAATGAAACTTCACTAATAAAAAAGAATTTGCACTAGTGGTCGACCAATATGTCAATAGGGCCAATATTTGGGATGTTAAATTATCAGTATTGTCAACTTAACCTACTTAGTTTTGGGCAATAGACTTTTGGCATAAAATCTAATGCAAATTATTACTTTTTTAGGGGTGCCAGCAATTATGTGCAAGTGCAATTTACTCGAAACAAAACTAAATCTGCCTTCAACCACCCTGCTCTTCAGATACAAGCATCGGACGGAGAAAAACACCAATTAGCGCTTTAGTAATAGGTGAGCTTACACATCAATCTATTTTACATGTCAGACTTGCATATTAAAAGAATAGTTCACCCAAAAATGAAAGCTTGCTGAAAATGAATTCATCCTCAGGCCATTAAAGATACAGACGAGTTTGTTTTTCATTGGGCCACATTTGAAAAAAATTATCATTACATCATTGGCTCACCAATGGATCCAAAATATTAGTCCATCCATAATTCCTAACAACACTTCCTCCAGTGAAAAAGTCCATCCCCTGTTGTCCTCTCACATTAAAATCCACTAACATATTTGTTCAGAACTGTGATCAGTGCATATTTCTCTCCTGATTCAGACGAGGCGACATTTTCACTGGAGAAAGCAGTATTATGAATAGAGGACTCATATTTTAGCTGGAAGTGGCAGTTTGAAGTTAAAAACGTCTTCATGATGGGTTTGTTTCACAGCTTTTGACGTCACAAGATGTTTATTGATGGACTGAAGTCGTGTGGATTATTGTGATGTTTTTTGCAGCTGTTTGGACTCTCATTCTGAAGGCACCCATTCACTGCAGAGCATCCATTGGTGATCAAGTGATGTAATGCCACATTTCAAACAAACTGATCTACATCTTGGATGGCCCGAGACCCAGCAATTTTTATTTTAAGGTGATTAAAAAAAAATTAAATAATGCAATACATGTCTTTTTTTTATCTGTTTAACATTACATTGCATTTAGGAACTCGCAAGTGCATTTCTCTATACGTATACATTTGATCAGTGCAATCAGAAGGCACACGGGTCGCTCTCCTGCACTGACTGCAGAGCTTCTTTGCCGTCCTCTTGCTGGCAGGATATACAGACCTCTTCTTGAGAAAGCGGCACCGGAGCTTCAACATGGGGTGTCCGTGCGGATGTGTTGAGAGGGATGGAGCAGGACGCTGTCGTCGGGTTCAGCTGGCAGTTGAAGGTGGCCGTGATGCTGAGATTGACCATGGGGCTGGAGACAGACGGCTGCTCCGGCATGGACTCCTCTTGACTGGTGCGCTCCATCCAATCAGCGCTGCTGTGACTTGAGTCTGGCTGACTCTGGCTGTCCGATGAAGTCATGGACGGCTCCTTCTGGCACCTGTCGACGGGTAACAGGCGCTGATAATCAGGTGTGCCGCTCTCGGAGGCATCTTGCTCCAGCTGAAGAGAACAAGAGATGGGAAAGCGATGAAATGAGTATCCCAAAATGCAATGTGCTTAATTTGATATGCCATTCAATCTTTTTTCCACATTATTTGATTAGACTAATGCAAAACAACCGCATTTAGTTCTTAGGTGATAAATGCATGACACTCTGAGTAAAATATGCAATGTGGAAATGAGGTCATGTGACAAATTAGTAATGTTTGAAGG